GGACTAGCTACTTTCCTCTTGGCCCCTTTTCTGTTATGTCCTGATAATGGGTCAAGAAAAGTCATATGAAAAATTTTATTCTGAAGACTTTTCATTGAACTTTTTGGACTAACTCTGCCTTTTTATGACACTAAAAACCTCTATTGACTGAAATGAGAATGCATGATAGTGCAATAATGTCTTGTTTTGTTATAGACTGAGTCTGTACAGCACTTTAGTGTAGATCCGAAAAAAAAAAAAAGGTTTTATTTCTTATTTCTCATGCCACTGTGAGAAATACTGTGCTGTCTTTGCAGAATAATCTTGAACTTGCCTGTTAGGTCTAGCTACTAGTAAAACTAACGAAACATGATATAAACACAGTCTTAATAACGACATGTCATCTTCTCACTATTTACTTTCCCAGAAATCAGACATTTGGGGTATTCTGTGCAGATTGTGTCTTACCTGGGATTTTGAAAATTAAGAATCATGTCTTCCTGCCATAGTTAAATGTCTTGGAGATCCAAACTCCTGAAAGTAGAAAACAAGTAAACAGAGTCATAAAAGGGAACCAAATAAATAAAATCATAAAATTCACTTTTCTCTCTGTAGAATTTCTTATGTTGGTTTAATAAATCTGCAGTGAGCAAGGACTAATTACCTGGCCTCGGCAGAAGCCTATTTAGATTCTTGACGGCTTGCTTTCTTCCTTGTAAAAACAGTCTTGCTACAAACTGATGTGATTAAGATAAGACTCGACCAAAAACTATGAAAAAAGATCATAACAAATTAGACACCAACTTTAGAAGCTTAAGGCTCTTTCTCCTGATGTTTTTCAGTATCAAAACTAAAGTCCAATAAAAACAGTTTTAAAAGAGTTTACTAAAATTTCTCACTGAAATGGCAGCTTTTAAGATGTCTGTCACACTTTCAGCTCCTTGGAGAGAAATATATATTACTATGGATATCGTTATACTTTATACTTTTTTCTTTAGTTTTGTATCATACCTATCTCTTTCTTTAAAGTTCCTTAGCAGATTAGTTCATCAGAAATAACAGCCTTATTGTTGATTATAACAATGACTCAAAATATTTGACATATTTAATTCGACAAAATGCTACAAATTTCATCCTAACCCAAGGTTTTGTTAGTGCATATGCACCAGGATCCCCTCTAGGATCATTAAAAGTTCAGTTAACTTAATAGTTAAAACTTAATAGTTTTATTGCAATGATTAGGTTTTTGAGGATAGCAGCAGGCCGTTACCTCCAGGTCCAGCTTCTCTTTCAGAGTGTAGTGAAACCGAACAAATAAAGAAGAAAAAAAAATGAAAATACCTGAAGAGAATAAAGAACAAGGGTGATGGGGTAAGATGGATTACTTGAATTTTCCACCAATCACTGAACAACACATTGGCTAAAGCATTGATTGATGAAGTATTTAAGTCGTCAATCTCACATCACAAGCCTTTTTACAAATGGCTGCAGAAAGGGGCTGACATCGAGGTGGTATCAATGGAAGTTGGCTTTGCTACAAAATATAAGAAAGACCTCTAGTCCACAATTTGCTCTCTTGCAAGACGTTCAATAACCGCTTTCGACGGCCACTTTGCCAGCAAATGTTTCACTTAAAATGTCGGTATTCTTTACTCAGGACTGCCGTCCACCTCTAAATTTATAGGTCTTTACTACGGGAAGATTTACTTTCCCTTAGTTTTCGGTCAGATTATTTTTCCCTCATGTAGACTGCTTTTCAATTTACATGCAGGGTTTTTTTTTGGTGAGTACTTTTTTCTTTTTTTCCCTGTTCTTAAAAGAATTACAACCCATTGTTGTCTCTTCAGATATGCTTTAAAACAGTAAATCAGTCATTGCCAGAAATCTGTGTTTGACTGAGAAAGCAGCTTGTTCTAGCTTTATATTTCCTACCCCTCTTTCACATTACTTGTTCATTGACATTAACCTAAAAATAAATGACTAGACAGGACTTGAGCTTAGCATCTGTAGGAGCTGTTGCAGCACAGAGAGGTCACCTCTTGGCTGCCATCAGCATTGTACCGTTTATTCTCTGAGCCACTTTTCCTTCCCCGGGAATATGACGAACGAAAGGGGCAGCTCATATCAAGGGTAATAGAGCCAAGCAATTCAGACTCCATGGGGAGGGGAGGAGAGACAACAAAAGAGTGTACATACCCCAGCATGAAAGAGCATCTTGATTTCAAGTTTTCTTTCAGGAGTCGTTAATATTTTATGAGACCACACAGAGTGTTCCTCCAGTGACATTTTTCTAAATAATGTAATGTGCAGTAAAGTTATCAGACAAAGGGGAGGAGGAGGGAAACAGCCTTGTTTAGATCAAAAAAAAAAAAAAAAAGGAAAGAAATGCTCTTGAATTCAAGTGTTCTGAAGGTTGGATAGTGCCTGACTCCGGAGTCCTAAACTTTTGTAGGGACCAGACTAGCCATGGTGCCCATGAATAAAGGAGGTACCTTTTTTTTTTTTTTTTTTTTTTTCCCCTTGAGGAGAATGTATGTGCTCACTGAGCACACTTTTTTTTTTGCATCAGCAAAAATGGATGGGGCAGGCTACAGAAAATCATGCAAAAGGAAGACTGCCAAAAACACAGGGGTTTCTCTTTTGTCTGCCAGTAGCAAATTCTTCCTTCCTGACCCCGTGGTATCTGGGAACTTTTCTTGAAGGCAAATGTTAGTCTAAAGCTGCAGGTTAAAATACCCCAGACTTTAGGAAGTCTTTTGGCAGCTTACAGATCTTACAGAGAGAACACAGTTTACAGAGAGCTCAGCAACCTTGCCCTGGAGCAAATTAAGCCTTCAAGTTCTCTGTTTTATAGTAATGTATGTAGAAGTCCATACCTTCAAGATGATTCCGGTTTTCAGGTTCTGCATCACACATTATGGCCTATTTGGGGATTCCTGTTTTGCAGCAGGTGGAGTTTTCACTATTGCTTAATCAGCTTCCATTCCTCAGTTAAGCCATTTTACTTTGAAAAAGCAACAGGATAAAATGATTCATGTGCAAGGCTGGCTGACAGGTTACTAGTTTGATAGTTTATAGTTTCCCTATTTCTGCTAGTTTATGTTGATCAGAGGACTTGTTAACTTACTAGAGTCTCTTAGAATTTTTTGGAAAACCAAAATGAAATCCTCTACTTTTTTTTTCTGTTATGAATCTTACAATTCCACCTCCACTGTTCTTCCTGGAGCTGTCCATCCCAAAACCTATATTTAGAGGTATAGGAGAACTTGCCACAAGCTTTTTGAATTCAGCATATTCTGTGGGGTACTATTATATTGCATATTATCAGCCTTGTGCTAATTACTAAATAGTAATGGTTCAGAAAGATTTATCTCAGAATGAACTAACTAGTGAAGAAGTAACCAACAGAAAAACAGACTTATATAACACGACATTGAAAATTATACTGATTTTTTGCTTTAAATAAATAAATAAAATACCTAGTTGACATCGAACTGTTGTGGGTAAAATTACTCAGCAACTGCACATACCACCCTCCTTTTGAATTATTTAGATGCAAGTTAGTGGTCACCATTATTGTCCTAATATACTGTATGGGATCAAAGCGAATATAATGTACTGTAGTAGTAATGTGTGGAGTGAACTAGACAACTTGTACAAAGCAGCAACCAAATTTACTGTATTAAATAAGAATCCAGATCACCACTGCAGTTTATATGAGCAGTTAAAATGGCTTGCCTCTTCCCGTTACATGACAATGTAATCAATGGAATAAATCACTGGCTGGCAGAAATCCTACATTTGAAATAACTCACATGTTTCCTATGGCACAGCAGAAATCTTCACAGGGAAATAGAAAGCAAGGAAGTTGATAAAAGCCATTTGTATAAGTGCTGTTGCCAAGAATTGCATCCAAGTTAGGAGTTAAATTGTGCAAGCTTTGATCATTCAGACAGACAAAAACATGCAGCCTGATCTTAAGGTATGCAATGATACTGCATCAGTTATAGCAATTACGTAATTACACTTCAATCCTCCAAACACTTATGCATGCGTATACTTAACTTTATTAATAGGAGTAATTCATTGATTTCATTGATTTTACTACTCATGGAACTAAAATTAAGATACACTTGCATATTTACAGGTTTTGAGTTTTGTATCACTCCTCTGTTCATGAAAGGCTGCTTTATCTGTACTGCTTTTTATATATGTAACATGAATGTGTGTGGTGGCTGAAGTAGCTGTTGAATTGAAAGTGTGGATGGGAAAACCTTAGGGACAGAAATCCTGGATCAAGTGAAAGCGGTGGGAATTGTGCCATGGTTTTACCCCGATGTTCAAAAACAGATGAAATGCATCAATTAAAATGTTTCTAATAATTTATTCAAAATACCATGACAAATATTTTAATATGATAAAATAAGATAAATATGCATAGCTGTTTAACTTGTGAGATTATCTGCTGATGTTCTCTGATTCTTTTTTCCCCTCCTGTTCAGGACTTCCCTGTCTGCTTTTAACAGACTTGGATATTTTATCTTATATTGCTAAAATCTCGTTCTCCACGTGCAACTTTATTTCACCAAATACTTCCCTTCAGAGGAACCAAATAGAACCAGAGAGAACCAGATACTTCCCTTTATCCCACTGCACTCACAAACATGGTTTCTCTTGCGTCTTCTTTTCCTATTAATGGCTGCTCTTTGGTCATTATCCCATCCCTTGTGCTCCTTGTTCCTAATTCTACCTTGATACCTGTTCCATTATTTTAATTTACAGTTAGTGGCCTGCTGTGGTGTTCAGTCCCATTTCTGTCCATCCATCGCCAGTATCGTTTCTAACATTGTATTAAGTTTGAATGTTGCTGCTTTCTACTTGAGCACTCTCTTCAGGTACTGCTGCCCCAGTGCTGCCAGTTCAGGCATATTAATTGGCTTAGCATCACTCCCCATAGTGCCTGTGTGGCCTGGAAAATATTGAATTGCTGCTTGGCCAGAAATAAGGAGATTTTTAAAAATCATTTTCATTAATTTTCTACACCTATAGCTAGTCAATAGTAGTGACAAAATAAATAAATATATTGAATAAAAACATCACTTTACTGGGTCTTAATTGGTGTGTCTTGAGTGAATCTATGCCAATGTATAATGAATCTATATTTTTTTCAAAGATCTTATCCAGCCCACCGTATCTGGCCTTTAAACTGTCACAGAATTGCACACTGAGGTGGGGTAGACTGTGTGTCTGGTTTATGTAACCATGGTTTTGTTTAGTTGGCATGTTAAAAATAATGAATTGGGTATAATAAAAGCTAGTTTTCTTGTATACAGTTTAGAGTAAGCAACTTTGAACTCAGAAGAGGTCATTATGATAGCCTAATCTCACCATTTGTATAAAATAGGCCAGGCAGTTTCTAATGAGAGAGGACACCTGCTTAAGAAAGGGTGTGGAGAGGAAAGGTAATCTTGTCTATCATCTGTTGCATACCTTTGTAATTACTGTCAGATAGAACTTCTGCATTAAAGCTGATAAGGTAATTAAAAATACCAGAAGATCCTCATTAGAGGGACATACATATGGAGCAATGAAATCTTTCCTTGAATAGGGGTTTCAAATATCTATGAAATTACAGTATCTTAATATTCTGTGCATTTTTCTTCCCTAAAATTATCCTGATGGTTTTGTCTACCTCTTGCAAAAAGCAGTTCTGCATTTTGCCCTTACAACAGGTGAAGTAAGACCCAAATCCCACCTGTTTCTTTAGGCTGATGTCTTTTAGCAGGAATTATGAGGACAGCTCATCTGTAACAAGATAGTAAAGATCAGTGGAGTAATGGGTAAGTGGTTAAGAGTTTTCTTTGTGTTCTTAATGTCAAGGATTGCATTTATTAGATTGCATGGACTTAAGCTGCTAGTCAGTTAAGACCATGTCCTCATAGTTGAGCTCACAGTCCAGTTGACGAGGTGTCCAGCTAGTTGAAGTAGTTCATATCATCTGAAATGGCACTTCTTTCTGCTCAAACCAGATTCCTTTGTGAAGAATCAAAGGTGCATTGACACAAAGATATGAGCAGAAATTTTCCAGATGACCTAAAAACCTCACCTCAAAAGTGCAAGCAGCACTTTAAACGACATATTTTTAAATGACATATTTTAATGCGTATATTTTTCAGTGAGAAATTAATGGAAGTTAGTGATGCAAATACACCATAAATTATCCAGCCCTTTTTACCTTATATCTAATTTTACCCATTGTATGTAGTAACATATATAATGGCAGGTAACTTTCAGGCTATTATGCACCATTTCTTCACAAATTATAGGAGAATGGGGATTAAGCTGTTTGTAATTTAAATATAGGCGATTAGGGCCTATTTCTCTGCTGACTTCACTCTGAGTGCACTAGGAAACAATGGCAAGAAATCACCTAATCATAGCCTGCACTATAATTCATCAACGGTGAGCAGCCAGGTGAAGGTTCCACACACCGCTGAACCTTTCGTATTTCCCTCCATCTGTCTGCTTACTCATGTCTGTCTAAAGGTGCAGCTCGGTTCTGAAAAGTATTAGCATAGAAAGTTCCTTCCTTCCCTCCCTTTCTCTGTGAGACACATTTACTAATGCTGTGAACGGGCATATATTGTGAATGGGCATCTACATTAATTTATCTGTAGAAATGATAACAAAACTTATAAATCTGTAAACAAATGATCCAACTATCAAAGAAACTCAACGTATGTGGAATCCTGTAATGCCACTCGTAGCATCTCCTTTCAGAAGTAAGCTGTATTTTAAAATAAGGGGTAGATTTTATACTGAAAGTGAAGCCACAGAGCTTCCTATTTTTACTTTTTCCCTTCCAGATTCAAACAGGTTTCAGCTCCGTCATTCAGATGGGTCAAATCTCCCAGCAGACAATTGTGCCTGGGAGATAATATATTAAGATTTTAATCCAGAACCTCTTTCTGTTTCAGAGGAATGCGACCTTGTTCATATCAGAGACAATAACATTTCCAGACATAAAAGCTAAGGCTGCGTACACTACTTAAGTCATTAAGAAGGTGCAAAGAAGGACAGCTTTTTTTTCTCTACAGAAGAGAAGGTGAATGAATGGATGAGACTGACCTTCAGTTCCTTAAAAATACTGTGGGAGAGAAAGAGCTATCTTTATCGGGAACACCTTTCTCACCCTGTTCTATTAACTCTGCCTCTTACTATATCCTGTATGTCCCTGAGCTTTCTGCTGAAATCAGAGAAGGTGCACATGGTTTTGTAAAAGCAAAAAGTGGGGAATTTGCATGCACTTGTGCATAAAGATCACTGTCAGCGCAAAAGAATCCCTCTTTTTCAGCCCAGCGGGTTCCAAAGAAGCATTTGAAGAGACAGCAAAGTGACCACAAGAGGTAAGAGGAGCCAGTGGATGCCTGACTAAAGTTTAGATGCACGAAGGTCAGAAAGAATTCCAGTGGATGAATACTCCAACTATAAACAGTTTGAAAATGCTAAAGGAATATATGGCCTCACATATATGCCGTCCCGGATTCAACACCCCAGTAATGGCTCTGGGCCACTTGTTCTTTCCTGATGTGAAAGTGCAGCACTTTAGCTTGTGTGCTTGGCAGCAGGAAGCCCCAAAGGCAGGGGAGAGCTATTTTATGTACTGTGCATGTGAGGGGGAACATTATGTTTGGTAAAGGGGAGCTGCTGAGGTTTTTATACTCTCATTACTAGAAAACATTTCTGTGTACTTTTCTCTGTGTTTTTATTAATCCATTTCATTTCATGCTGTCTCCCCTCCCACATCTCTAACAGCTGCTCACACAATATCTCACCTACAGTTTGGGAAGACACAGTAGGCAGATCACAGTATATATTGCATTATACTCCTGGACGTACCATCTGCCTTCTCCTCCTGGACATTTTTGTAACCGACTATTTACAGCAACAGAGGGTCTGACTGCTTAGGGCTTGATCCTTGGCAAAGAATGCCTTGTAAATAAGTGAAAGTTAAAAAGGAGCAAGCAGCAGAAACAATTGAGTCTTAGTTAAAATGCTTCTGCGTGGCTACCAAATGCCTCCCACTTTGGGAAAAAAATAAGATGAAATGTGATCCTTGATGTGCTCCCAAGGCAGCTGGCTATGTCTCCCCCTTTTCTCTTTTTGTAGTTGGGAAAAATGGGGTTTCATATAGCCAACTGTCCCAGGAACATTTCTTTTCAGACTTACCCACAGCCAAATCCTAATCCCTGTCCTTGCATACAGTTCCAATCCAGCAGTGTTGTCTGACCCAGTGTTTGAATTCCTAGGTAAACTGGTTGGTTAGCTTGTAATGTGTACTGCAGGGCAGATCATGTGCACTAGGAGACTGACCAGCAAGGTCACTATTTCTTTACAAGTCACACACTTCTAAGTCATACACTTTATTTCTCACAGAGATCAGGGATTGGGTCACTGAGATGAGTGCCCAATTTTTATCCTGCCAACCATGCCAAGGTACCTGTGTATCGCTAACCAGAGCTAACATATGAAACATGAAAGGTAAAAGCAAAGGCTATCTCAGCTTCCTCTATTGATTCAGGCTGTGAGCAGACTGAACAGCATCACTGTTCAGTTATGCTCAGGGTTTAGAATGCGAGATATTTAGAGAATATTAGGACTAAAACAGACAAGTAGTCTTTTTAAAAGAAAGCTAATAGCATCTTGTCGTGACTCCAGGAGCAATGAAATGCATCTGGAAATGCAACAACTTTACACTCTTTGAATCATACAAGGACTTAAAAGACCAAAGTCCCAGAATATGATCCCCACCCTCCATCCTTTATGTCGCCAGACTGACTGTCTGTCCAAGATGGTATAGAATTTTTAATTCATGCGCCAGGGAAATATCAATGAAATCATTATGTCTTCAGCCTATATGGGAGATTTTTTAAAAAACATTCCCTGTCACCACATGAAGACATCAATAGAAGTTAAATTGCTTTATACCTGCTTGGAACCCTTAATTCTGTATTTGCACTGCAACAATTGGTTGCTACAATCAATAATTTCCTATAATTCCTTTTGTGAGTAGGACAATAGAGAGGAGGTCATTTTTACAGCTGATATTTAGTCAGAGACCAGTTCACAGAAGGAATTATAGCTTTTTATTGCTTTTTGCTGAAGCATTATAATATTGTTGCCATTTTTTTTTTGTTTTAAGATGGATTGTGGTTGTTTTCTTGAACATTCAGGGTCACAAGTATTCAGTTGATGTCTTGTGACGCCTAGCTAGTGCCATGTATCTGAAGCTGTTTGCTTGCCACCGAAGAAAGATTTATGTCTTCAGCCATGCAAAGTGAAATAGCCGCATTGTGGAGAAGAAGGCAAATGTTTGCTTGTTCAAGTTTGGCTCTTATTCATCTCCCAGCTGACTAAATCCATGAAGATAAACATGGCCTGACTTCCCCAGCTCAGCAATGACTGCTTATTGTCTTCGAATAAATACTGCAATATTATTGCTCCACACTTTCCTGGCCACTGGCAGGCTATGAAAACAAGCTGAAGTAATGCCATAAGTCATAACATATACAGTCTCCGTTGTCATTAACCCAGGGGAAAAGAAAAAAGGAGGATTCAGAAGTCAACTTTGTTTTAACCCTTTGAATTGTAATCATTTTTTTTTTTTGCCTCCTCTAAACATGATTGATGTCTCCTAGGAGCTCCCTATCCTTTCATAGGTTAGGAAGCATTAAGTAGTTGCACTTTCCACTGGCTGAGTCTAATCACATTCCTATAGATGAAGCAGACTGCCTTGGACACCCACAGCTTCCTATTTATCTTTTAAAATGCAATCTACGCTTTTGAAGATGAGCTCATCTTGAGGAGTGGCTGAAATAGGAGAACAAGAATAGAGGATGGATCTTGGAAGAAACCAGCACATGGTAACGCTTATGCTAAAAGCACCGTAATAAGCTGCCCTAAAGGAGTTGGAGGAACAAGTATTTCAGAAGTTAATTTTCCTGTAGATAAGGACAAGCCACTAGGAAGATTCTGAATTGTCAAAGAAGACCTGTTTCTTAGCAGACAACATTGGCACTTCTCGTTCCCCCTCCTAGACATCTCTGGTCAGCGCTTTCTAGAAGTAACAACAACAAAAAAATCTTACTGAAGAGTGTTTTATGAAAAAGTCATCATATCAGATGACAGTGTGATCAAACAAAACAGTTCTAATGGAGAGTTTAGGGAATTACTTGGCACTGGCATTTGGGGGCAGAAATGGTACCGTTTTCTAGTACCATTCCCTTTCTTCTTCATTTGCAATTCACTTAACCACAACCAGCTGCTATCAAAAAAAATTCCTTCCAAGTCATTTGTCTTCTCTACCTGCTACACTGATAAGTTCAAATATCATCACTACGTCAGTGATACGGTACAGTGATACGGTACAGATACTATACATCCAGCACAGCAGACGTTTGTCTGCCATGATTATAGTGTAGGATCACTTCCATTATATGGAAGCAGATGATCTATTGCACAGATCTACTTACAGATGCCAATGTGCTTGATTTCATAGTGGGATATCATGGGGCAATGGTTCTAGGTGGGTGAGTTGATACTGGAACAATCTTTTGACTGGTATGAGGATTAATGCCATCTATTGCTATACAGACTACTTACCAAAAAAAAAAAAAAGTTTTTTTCATTTACAACAGGAAAAAAAAAAAAAAAAAACATAAAAGGTTGCAGAAAATCTCACTGCCTATTAACAACTCCACAACTGAAGCTGGAGTTGCATGTCTGGAAAGACCTTTGCGCTGGGAGCAGATGTTACATGGTTATGTTATTTCTTTTATAATTTGTAGTGGTTGCACCATTAAAAATAAATGAACAAATAAAAATATTTTCATAAACCACACCAAGGGAAAGATGGGAGGTTGGGGAAGAGCTATTTATGCAAAAAGACATTGTTGGCATACAAACATACAGACATTAGGTGGTTGTTTAAAAAAAATAGTAGCAGGAATTTAAAAGAAACTTTCTAACCAGAGGAGTGAGACTCTACAATGGCTTTCTTGTAAAGAAGCGGATATGAATAATCCTACTGATTATGAGAGTAATGTATGTGCAGTAGCTGACTCAGTGAAAAGGGGTAAGTAACATGTTATCACTGGCTTGCATGGTGATAAAGGAAAGTTCTGTGTAACAACCAGTAGGCTAACTAAAATGAGAAGCAATGTGTGAAGACAGAGACAAGAATAACTTCTGAAATTGTCCATATTGTCTTCTAAGTCTCCAAAGAGTATCATGGGTTTTAGACTTGTGTTGCCCTGCTCACTGTGCCTGCAACACTGCCTGGAACATTGGCTCCTCTATCACCTGTTGTTTTGACCAGGGGAGAGCAGCATCTACATCTTTTCCTCCCATTTTTTAGGGAAATAGCAAGATAGTATCTCTTGCTTCTCCAGCAGATTAACCCTTTCTGAATAGCAGTTTATAGGAGAGAGGAACAACTTCTTTTTGCCTTTTTTGCTGACTGGGTTTCAAAGACTTTAAGCTATGTCACAGGTTTTCTGCTTTTATTTATCACAATGCACCTACGTTCTTGTAACAACCCTGCTTTTAGCATCATATTGCATAAGCTCTAGGTCTCACCTATTTATTAACACTTGAGCCAATAAAATGTCTCAGGGATGTTGTAATTCAGTCATTGCATGGAGATTTTTATTGACCATTTTCCACAGAAATGTGGCTTTAAGGGTTTTTTTTTTGAGCATATTTGCAAGAACAAAGTCTTACTTCAGTCTTTGTTCTAATTTCTTTTTGTCCTGTTTCTCTTACTATTAATATTTTACTTATGGCATATATCTTCTGTCTGAAAATGCAACTTTTATTTTTTCTCCTCAAATATTTTCACTTAATTTTTTTTTATTCTATGTTTGACTTTGGATCTTTATTGACTTCTGTCATTCTACAGTATAAAGTCTCTCATTGAGACTTACTTTTTGACATGCTTTCAGCCCTAAAGTAGATACTATGCACTAGTACACTCCTTTTTCTTTTTCTTACTCCTTTTTCTTTTTTTTTTTTTTAATAATAATATTACTAATTTATCTAACATCCATTTGGAGTGGAAATTACTTTCCCAGTAAGTTTTGAAGTTTTACTTGTTGATGTTAACTATGGCCAGAGTTTCTTTACAAACCCTTCATTCAACTTCAGCTGTCACTTATTCCCCAAAATATTAGGATTCTCTTTTTGTTCAAAGTGACATTTCAGTCATTACCTCATGTCCTTGAGTGGTTTCTGTGACTTCCCCTCTTCAGTATGAAGATATATATTTTGTTTCTTTTTAGCAATGTTAAGTCTTCTAAAAAATTTTGCAGAGTTGTTTTGTCCCTTGTGCATATTATGATGTGTCCAAAGACAAGTCATTCCTGAGACCTTGCTTTGCTTCTATATTATGTTTGCGGTTCTTTAGGCATCGGTCTTCTTCAGGTTCCTTTGTGTTTGTTCCTCTGTTTTGATGATACCCGGTCCCTCTGTTTTGTTTTTACCCAAAACTTCAAATCTGCTTTAGGTTATGCTCTTCAGCTTTGCAAATTGAAATATATTTATCTGAGTTCAAATTAGAGGAGGGTTAAATCCCAGATAAATGCTTTAATTTCCAGTAAGAATGTGTGTGTTTAAACGCACATATATTTCAAAAGCATTACCTTCAGAAAATAAAAATAAGTAAATGAATTCTTGTTTCTTCGGAGGAGCTTGAGACAGGACAGTTTAGATACCAGACATGAAAATGCCATCTGATTATGCCAATGAAGACACATCTCAAAGAAATGTAGCTGTATAAAAATGTTCCTTTCAATGTGAATTTCTATTTTGACAATAGCATGAAAATCAATGGGTAATTTACACCTTTATAAGGGCAGGAGAAGTGAAAAATCTAGATGAAAAATGTTTTGTTTGTTCAAAGCATCAGAAATATTCTACAGTATAAAACTAGCTCTAGCCTATATATCACCTAAGATATATTTTTTTACACAGTCTTCCACACTAAAACAAGGAGCACAATGTCATCTTCCCACAATGGCCCGTTTGATTACATCTCACACTGACTTCCAAAGTCCATTTGGCACTTCGACCCTCAGAAATTAAACCAAAACAACATTTCCTTACCAAATCTTACTGTAAGTTTATGTGTGCACACATATACATTCAAGTAAACAACAGCTGTTCAGAGTAAGAACGTGTCTTCTGTCCCAGCACTGAGTAGAACACTAGCTGGGCTCGAAGGGCAAGATCCTATCTAGTCCAGTCACTGTCTTTGTGGTGCGCAAGCCCTGATAACACCACCACAGATAGCACTCAGCTGTGCTTGTGCCAATAGGATTGGTGTTCCCTGAAACAGCTCTTTCCTTAGAAACTTCAGGGACACAGGTTAGTTGAGGACTATATTATCTGCATCTACAGAGAGGACAGATAGCAGAAGCATAATGGATAGGACCTTGAACTAAAGGACATGGATTCTGCTCCTGGCTCTGTTTCTCATCTGCCACTTGATCTGAATTCAGTCTATCTTTCTGTGTCTCTGTTTCTATAGCTATGTAAATTTTGGGGGGAGGAGATACAGGATCTTCTTGTTTTTTGGGGTTTTTTTTAAGTGCTAGGGCAATGATATCTCAGTCTTAGATCAAGTGTCTACCCCTTATTGTAATATAATTTTTGTTGTTGTTACAAGAGAGCTGAGCCAGAAGTAATTTAAAAATAAATATAAAGCAACCGTAGACTAAATCTTCAGATTCGGTATCTCTTGCTTTCTCTCTGTACTTGAAAAGGCTTTTGTAGACCCTGTTCTTCAAATTACCTTTTATTGTCAGGTTGTAAAAAGGTCCGATAGTGGGAGTCTAAAAGCTTGCTGAGCTATTAAGCCACATGGTACTCTGAACCTAATTGAAGCCTCTCATTGCTATGATGAAACTAATGAATAATAATGTGAAGATTATATATCGTAATAACATAGCAAGTAGAAATGATTTAATAGTAGGTTAGTCAATGCAAAATAATCAATCATATCTGAAAAACAAATATTTTCTATAGATTCATAAATAGAAATTTTGTATTTTATTTTATGTTATTGTTGGCAGCAAAAATGACAAAATTTCATCTGCCTGAATTATTCTAAATTTTTATGTTGTCATTTATCTCTGAAAAATACTTCAATGGCCATGAGGGGCCAAGTTCAACTTCATCAAAGCTATTGTGAAAATACAGACCCCAGCTTATGGTAAAAAATTCCAAAGTAAAAGTGAATCCAGTGCCAGCAAAGAAACAATATAAAGCACGCTGGGAAAACAGGAAGGCTCCTGTTTCCCTTTACTATCCTGTACACTATTTAGAATGTAAGTCACTAAAGAAATGTTGTTTGCCAAAGTCCAGTCAGTCTGCTGTGAAAGAGACCAGTTTCAATGATACATTGCATAGAATATACAGAAATTGTCCTATTCCGTCTTAGTCTGTTCAAGTAACATAAACTTCATGTACAATACACCCTTCTCAGCATATTCCACTCACAAAAACAAATGATCTTTGTTTCATAATTGGCTTAAATCCATTAAAGCCTGTAAACTGTACTTACTGTTTTAAAAGCAAATGCATTCTTTTCTTTCACAGCTATCTTGTCTAGTGATGTGTTTATCCAAAAACTTTGCCAATGCTTTCTATGATATGGGAGCATACCCATGAACAGCGTATTTATCAGCCAGGCTAAGCTTCGAATGCGTGTGTTTATCCAGCTTGTGGGAATTCCTGCCAGGGGAGGAACCATCATAACAGTCAGAGGCACATCCATAGCCTGGGAAAGAAAATTCATCTCTCATATGCTTTTCACCTCAATTTCATCAATACATTTGACATCGGGAAATGAAGTTTATTGAACCTCTGCATTCATCCTTTGGAAAGCCACTCCCAGTGTCAAAGCAAT